GCAGTGGTTGAACGTGGGCAACAAGAAGGAACTGAGGTGGGTGGAAATATGGGTTCTGGAGTAGTGGGAACTAGAATCTGGAGGACATTTGGGCAAATAGGCAAAAAATCAGGCTTCTGAGTGGTAAGAGGTGGGAAACTTGAAGAAATTGAAGCAGATGGGCGGAGATTTGGGTTCTGGAGTGATAATAAATGGAAGACTAGGAGCAAATGATTTAGATAACATAGGTAGATCTGTGGGGAATTGGGTTCTAGAGTGACGGGAATAGGATAACTGTAAATGAGGCTCTGCAGTGTCGAGAATAAGTTATTTGGGGAGGAGCTGTTGTTGATAGAAAAGTAGGATGTAAAATGTTGGGATTTAGATTACCGGAGAGGAGCAGGCAGATTGGAAATTACAGTTGGGAGTTGTGGGAGCTAGCTGTTTACAGAGTAGTTTTTGAAGGTAGTTGCAGATATGCGAGTAATCAGAACCTATAATGATGTAGAGTAAGAAGCAAGTAGGGGCTGAGGCGGATAGGTAGAGAGATAGTGTAGTATTTGGGAGATTAATGCTTGATAAGAGCTTTAAAATAGGATAGAATTGGGGTAAATAGGCAGAGTTAAGTAAAAAGGTTAGAGGAATTTGTTATTAGGAGAGAAGCCATGGGGAGGATGCCTAGCTGGGGTCCCGGATTGATCGGTATTAGTAATCAAAATGGAGCTGAGGCTGATACGTTGATAAGTAGGTTTGTAAGGGATGAGCAATGAGCCAAGGTTGATATATAGAGAAATAGGTTCTGCAGTGATGGGGTCTAGATGCTTGTAGAGGAACTGAGTCAGACAGGAAGTAGGGTTCTAAAGTGATGCGAACTAGGTGACCGGGACGAATTCGGGTAGGTACGTAGGGGGTCCGGTTCAGGTTTGGTGGGAATTAGATATTTCAGATCTACAGATGGGCGGGGAGTTGGGCTCTGCTGCGATAGAGGCCAGATACTTGGAGAGGAGCTGTTGTGCATATTTAAAGAACCATGTCCAGGAGTGATGGCAACTGGAAAATTGGGTGTAGCTAAGGTAGGTATGTGGAGAATTGAGTTGCGGGGTGTTGGGAGGAATTGAAGTAGACAGGAGAATTGGGATCCAGAAGTGGTAGAAATGAAAGGACTTTGGAGTGGCTGGTGCGAGTGAGGGAGAGTTGGGTCCTTAAGTGATGGAAGCTAGCGAATTAGGTCGGATTGGGGTGGACAGGCGGGAAACTGCGGTTGCAGCAGGGCAGGGAAGGTCAAAGCCTCAGCAATGGGTGCGTTGCTTATTTTGCTTTGCCTATTCTCCAGAGCAGTCATTGCTTGTAATTTTTCATTTATCGTTTCCTGTTTAGTAAAGCGGTATTAGGGGTGTAGCTTCATGTTTGGCGCTGTAAGGAAAACCTGACTCACTCGGAGATGCCGAGCCTACCGTCTGCTTCCCCAGTGGGTGTCGGTCTGGTGCTTCGGCGCAGTGAGTGTAGTTTCATTTTATTATTGCTGTCAGCAATGTTGAAGTGGGGTTTTTATTCACGGCGCAAAACGTGGAAATGGCTTATTGTGCCCCACCACCCTGACTTGCTGAAGGTGTTAAGAATATCCGAAATACATTAGAAGTTGGTTTTAAGGGTCTCCTCCCCTCTTCGTGTTGTAGTAAGCAGTCCACATTGCTAAATGTTTTCGCTAGAAGTCATGTGCTTATCAAGAATACCATCATTATTGGCACAGATAAGCATAAATGAATGGGGAGATGCAAATCCCATACTTTTACTGAATGTGGTTATCGGAGAGGTATGTGTCTAGAGAAGACGCTCTCGCATCAATATTCTGTAAGATCGGCCCCTTTTTCGCTCACTTGGAGACCTCTAACCCCAATGCTGGCAAATTATTTGTTAGAGCCTATTCACTGAGTTCACTTTGAACACCCCTAGAGTGGGCGCTTCCTCTTCCTCAAAGTAGTCCTCTTTGCCTTGCTTGTTTGTAGCTTCCAGTCCTGCGATGTAAAGAAATTATGTCCTCATGATATTGCCTTTCGACTCCTTTGGTGGCGACTCACTGCAACTCAGGCCCTGTTCGCTGAGTCATTCTTCTATTTGAATTCATTACCACTGGCTCGTCAAATATGTGCAAATAGATTGTCTTAAAGTCATTTAATTTGAAGTGTTGAGTGCAACCTTGCAATAATTGAATCCTCGGCTTTGCGGTTGTTTGACTTGGTGCTGTTTTGCTAGCCTGATTCGGAACCTC